TACAAGTTGCTCAGGTTATCGTGTGTTTATGTCGCCGGACGCCGGCCCTGATTTTGGCCGGAATTTTAATCTACTTTCCCGGCTATCTCGTCGGAGGATACCGTCGACGAATGGCGTTGGGTAGTGATGGCCACTTCCGGCTTGGAACCTTGCAATTGCTAAAAGTAGATGTGCTGGTTTATTTTAGACATTCAATAAAAATTATATAATATGATTGACATTAATATTATATTGTTCTATTCAAGGAATTGCAATAATTACATACACTGTCCCTCAAGTTTCTCTAGATTCCGCTTACCCCTTTGCAACCCAATAACCATGAACAAACTTCCGTCTTTTTTTTTATTTTAATCACGAAATTTTTAGTTAAGGATAGAAAGACGTATAATCAATCTTAGTTTCTCTTCAAATTTGCTACCGTAAGATTTTGAGTTTTTAAAATCAATTTTGTCTATCAATTTAATTCGTTTATATTAGATTTTTTTTTTAATATGTCATGTTTAAAATAATAAGATCAAATTTTTTTTGACATGTATGCATAACTTTAATTTAAAATATCAACATGAGTTGTGGTGCACTGGTGAAAGTGTTGAAAATTTTGTTGGGAGCGCCACTCCCGAATGGCTCCTGCAGAGCGCGATCCAAATGTATCAGCGCTTATATTATTGTATCCGTTTATAAATTGTAATTTTACTTTAAAAGTATGTGACTTTTGTAATTTGCCCTTAAAATATTGTAAATTTTTTTTCTTAAAGCTTCAAACAAATTAAACAGAAGGAGACACATTTTTTATACCGAATATTTTTTAATTTCTCACTAAATCTCAAGTATTCCCATTAATTTATAGTTATAAGTTAAGTTCTCCTATTTTTCATTCTTAATTGCAATCATTTCTATTTGGAATTGTTAAGACTAGTTACTTTAATTTTCTTATGTCCTTAAACACGTATTACAATCCAAAAATCAAGATTGATGTTTAAGTCGAAAGAAATAACACATTCAACACTTCTACAAGAAAGTCAAGCCACAGTCGAGAAAAAACAACAAAAAAGTTTCCAAAACCTGATAACATAAATATAAAAAACATCTAATACATTTCTAAATCTAGAGATACAAAAAGCATTATCTCACCCCTACTTCAGCTATCCTATCCTAGCCAAGGTATAATCTTCATAGCGGTTTTAAAAATCGTTTCCCATTCTTTTGGTTAAAAAGAATACCAGATGAAGAAAATATTGGAGTCATTCCTCGTTTCAAACGAAGACAAACAGATATGAAAATCATAGCAGATGAGAAACATCTCATTTTCTTCGATGTATATGTTTTCTGTAACCTACTAGCTTGACGATGTCTGACCATATTCAAGTTTGAATCATTTTTTTACCAAACCATGAGCACCACTCAATTGTGTATGAACAAACCATACCACAAACACCATAATGCATGATCAAATAAGGGACAAAGCATATTCATAATGAAGATGGTGGTATGATTCCCTCAAACTAAAAAGCTCTGTTCCATCAGTTCTTTCATGCTCAATTGGTCTCACAATTCATGGTGGATAATGAAACCCTAGACCCAATTTAGGTTCCCTTCACCTTATATGCTGCTTACCTGAAAGACTTGTAAAACCAAGGAAAAAGAGAGGGTAACAATAATTTCACTAGTAGGATCATGAATAACATACATGCGAACCAAATTGAAGTGTAGCAACATAAGCTTGTAACAAAATTCTAAACAGAATTCCAAAAATGGAACATCAAAACTCTCAAACTCATGAGAAACAAGGAGAATCCAGATACTTGTCGTCAAACATTTTAAAGAGAAAATCTAAACGTCTTAAATGGACTATTGCCAAAAGGCCTGCCTAGATGCAATTCATTCCTAGTAACGTCCAATACCCCAGACCCTAATCAAACCATCTGTATATCCGCTGAAAAGTGTACTTCCATCAGCACTCCAACTCAAACTGGTACAGTAAATGACCTGCCACAAGGATTCAGCAATGTTAACAATGTTAATTGATAACAAGACTAACAACTGAGGATATCAAGAAATCAAAACAAAAGTAGCATAACTACACTTATACATTGTTTGTAATCTACTGAATTGCAGAACATGTAATTTCTAAATATACTAAAACAACCAACAATAAGCATTAGAGTAAGAAGCTTTACAAAACCCAAAAGAATCCAAATTACATGTGTATTACCCCGCAAATGAAAAATTGATGGGACAATCAATAGTTCATAACCTAAAAAGCTACCCAAATCATTAAGCATCAAGGACATAGTTTCGGGGAATGGTCCAAGGTTGCACATTTCCTAATCAAGTAAAGCAACATGGCAACAAGAGAACTGCTAGCGATCCATTACGAATCAATCAACAATAAGCAGCTGATGAATTTCATATTTCGCTAAAAGAGGCATTAACCAAAATCAAAATTTATCATCCTATTGCAATGCAATTATAAAATTTTAGCTGTTAGCTACACACCAACACTAACTACACTAATTGGAGGCAAAGTGAATTCATTGAATATGTCAATCATCCTACCCTACAGACAATGATAAATTTCCACTACACAAGCATTCATAAAATAATTATGTTTACACAACAGAAGAATACTATGCAACCATGGTCAAGTAAAAGCATAATAAAAATACCTTGTTTTTTGGTGCAGTTCCACTCTCATTAGCAGCCATCTCACTCTCTTGCTTGAGATCAACTCTAAGGTCCACCACGATGGTCTTGCTCTCCAAGTCCCAAATCTTAATGCTAGACTCAGTGGCGGCGCAGAGCCAGTACCTGTTAGGACTAAAGCAGAGAGTATGGATGATGGAACTGGCATCAAGCGAGTAGAGTTTCTTGCCCTCAGCCAAATCCCAGAGCAAAATAACTCCATCCTTGCCTCCACTAGCGCACAAGGAACCATCAGGTGACACTGCCACAGTGTTCACATAGCCAGAGTGTCCAGCAAGAGTCGAACGCAGCTTACAGTTCGTAAGGTTCCAGATTTTCACAGTACGATCCCAGGAACCAGAAACAATAGTTGGCTGAAGAGTATTTGGGCTGAAACGCACACACGAAACCCAATCGGAGTGTGAGTCTCCGTCCTGAATGGTGTACTTACACTCACCGAGAGTGTTCCACAGCTTGATAGATTTGTCCCGTGAAGCGGACACAATCTGACGGTTATCAACGGAAAAAGCAACGGAGAGAACATCCTTAGTGTGACCAACAAAACGGCGAGCAGTAGTGCCGGCTTGAAGATCCCAAAGGCGAAGCTCTCCATCCCAAGAACCAGAGAGAGCAAACATACCGTCGGAGGAGAGAACAACATCCTGAACAAAGTGTCCGTGTCCGGTGAGACGGCGGCGGGGGACACCGTACTGTGCACCGTCCTTGGTGAGAGACCAGACAATGATGGACTTGTCCCTAGAGGAAGTAACAATCATGTCGGAGTTATCAATTGGGGTGGCGATGGCAGTGACCCAATCGGTGTGGGCTTTCATGGTGCCGCGAAGGACAAGTGATTCTTGCGCCATTTTGTCAAGCAAGGTGGTCGCCGCTCCGGTTTTCCTCTGGAGGCAAATGAGACGACGATATAGCAGTGAAGAGAAACCCTAATATCTCACAGGTGAGAATTTATAGCGTGTATCAATTTTAGGGTTTTTGCGAGAAATGTTGCGGGGTTACAGATCCATTAGGCAAATTGGGTCATGTTACTGGGCCTGCTTGGGAAATATCCAATTCAAGGATGTTGGGCAATTAGCTTCACCACTTTATCGAGGGGGTGGCGTTTGGTAGGTTGGACAAGCATAGATAGCTTGATGATAAAAATGTAATATTATTTCATTGTTTGATTAATAATTTTAACATAAATTATGTTGGAATTAGTAATTAGTAATTAGTATAAGATAAGTTATTTCTAACAAAAAAAATGGAATAATAGAACCAGAATAATTATACCACAACAATAATAATATATCTAGTAAATTTTACAAGTGGAGTTGAGAAGGATAGAATGTACCTCTACCTCGTGGATGTGGATAATTTTTTACCGGATGATTTTTGGAACAAGTGCAAATGTAAGTATGAAAGGGAAAACGGCAGTAAAAAAACTATCAAGTAATTAATGGAAACAGTAACAACATCATAAATAGTGTGATAAGCAAGATACAACAAACAACATAGGATGATAGAAATCAAAAGCAACACACTGCAAGAATAGGGCTGATACTACGGCAAGCAACACTATACTATCTACCCTAATTTTTTATTGTCATACCCTCTTATCTAAAGTCATATCCTCAGTAAAGATGAAAGTGTATCATGTCATGTCTAACAACCTTTCTCCAATATTTATTCGGCCTATCATAAGTTCACAGCCTCTTCTTGTACCCACTATATCCAACTTCTCGCACCTCCTCACTTGACATTTGCACTTCAACTCGAATAACCAACATAACCAGCCTCAAATTATTTGAATTTAAGGCATGCAAGGCAAGATCCAAACAAGCGGGCCTCAACTAGTTTAAATATGCAAGTAAGAACCAGCTAACGCTTACTGGGAAGGAAAAAAAAAAACAATACATTAATTGCATAGTTTTAGTAGTATTATGTAAAGTGTACAATCCGCATCCATGGAAAAATCTTAAAGATCTAATTAATATTGATGAGTGATCAATTTCTCCCCTTGTAATTCCTGCCAAAGTCCCATTCACTTGATTACAAATCCATCAGACAAAAAAGTTGAAACTTTATACATAATTAAACAATAGAAACATCTGAATACACTAAGATTAGGGACTCTTTCGTTAATGTCCCTCCAACCAAACATAATTACCAACACGAGCTAAAATATACAAAACACATACACGAATTATGTATATTCTATGTATGTGTATATTTATACTTAAATATACACACAAAAATCTCTATATTTACTGGCTAGTTTTCTAAACTTGATCACCAAAAGTTATAGAACTATAATTATCCCTTAAAACTAGTACTTAAACAATGTAACCAACCAAAGGATACGCATTAAGATCATAGCAAAATACACATGTATGTCAAACCAAAATTGTAACCATATGGTAATAGTATGCTATAGATTACAAAAACATTCATCGCAGTGCGAAGGTACAAAATTTTACAGTAATACTGACACAGGAAAAAAGTGCCTATTCAGTACCCCCACAAACCACGTCTTCAGAGCTCTCCCATTAGTATTAGAAAGAATGGCTTTTGAATTTGAAGAACAAAAATACATTAGAGCAATTTATAACTCATGCATCCAGCAGGAAATAGAGAAAACTTTCCCAATCGCGATCGCCTATACAAGTGAACCTCATTAGTTTCCCCCCAGCAACCTGAAAATTTTTGTGCAATGTAGATGTATGCATCCAAGATGAAGATAGGATAAATCAGTTTGGGCCCTTACCATAGCTTCAGAGAATAATAAGCAGCCTTGGAAATCTATAAAAAAAAAATTAGCATTGCTCTCTTTTCAATCTGCCCATAAAGAGAGAGAGAGGCATGTCATCCCCTACTTCAGTACACTCCCTTTTCCTCACTCTGCCCATGAAAGAAGAGAGGGGCATGTCATCCTCTACTTCAGTCCCTGATATCTGATTGGAACTGGTGCATTCTTGTTTACTTCTCTTCTCCATCCCATCATGACCACCAGATATACAAGATCTGCTAGAGTGATCTCCAGCCATAGCTTTACTTTGAGCTTTGCCCGGATGCAACCTGACAACCTTAGTAGAAGACGATGAACTTACCTTTGCTCGCGATTTACGGACAAAAGAAGCAAGGGTCATGCAGTCATCTGCTGTTTGCGGTAGATTATCTAAGGAAGACTTGACATTATTCTCCAATTGACTGCATTCATTAAGCTTATGACAGACGGAAGCTCCATAATTCACACCTTCCTGAGTGCCAGGTGTTGCAGATGCTTCTAACTGACTAGCATTTTCATCAGTGCACACAACAGCATTCCTTTGAAAAAGTAAAGAGTTATCCTGGAACCCTGTTGTAGAGCCATTTTCATTCTCACCAACATTGAGATCAGCTGTCCCTTTATCCAAGTGTGGATGTGCCAATGGAGGACCTTGAGGGCTAATACAGGGATCATCATATTCACTTGCGGGATGGCATTTATCCATAGCATTCTTGGCATTCCTGCTGTCTTGAACAAGTGACTCAGCCTCTTCAACAACTGCCATTGACGAAGACAGATTTGGCAAAGATGATGAACTCTCTCTACTCTTCACTAACGAACTGGCTCTCCTCCTCCTCTTGCAGATATTGCCATCTGCAGTAGTAGATTCAACTGTACTGGAAGCAGAGGGGACAGTTCTACTCTTTTTCTTCACCAGTGAACTGATACTCCTCCTCCTCCTCTTGCAGATATTGCCATCTGCAATAGTAGACTCACTGGAAGCAGAAGCCTCTGGAACCTTATCATTTGGTGTAGATTTTTTTGTCTTTCTAGGACGCAGTTTAGACGTTCTTTTATTCTTTATTGCATCATTACAACCCTGGTCTCTAGAAGGTAACAAACTGCTGTTTATAAGATCAGAAGACTCTGGACCCTCACTCCCCTCTGCATGTCGCTTCTCCATTTCACACATTGCATCACACCTAGGAGCCATATCATCCCTTGTTGCTCTGGGCCTATAAACAAAAACTAAAACAATCAGAAAAGTAACCTAGCTGCTAAAAAAGCACCCCTTCCACAAAAACTTGTGTAGTCATGACCAGACAAAACTCTTTCCTAAGCAAATAGCAGTTTGTGAAAGAATCTTAGCATCCACCTAAGACCTTAAGACTATGAGTGGAGCTGCCCAGGACTATATTGGCCCCCATGAAAACCTTACATAACTGATGAGGAACAAGTGTATTCTCTAAACCTTCCATAGCACATGTAACTTACATCTTGGGTTTACACATGAACTGGATAGTTTTTCTTGTTGAGAAGATCGGAAGTGTGAACCTAATGTAGGGAGAGAGATTAGGCTCAACAGGCTGAAAAGTGGGCCTGGGGCTGAGAGGAGAGTAGGCTCAACAGGCTGAAAAGTGGGCCTGGAGCTGAGAGGAGAGTAGGCTCAACATGCGAAGGAGTGGGTTTGGAGCAAAGTTTGTGGCTCAATGGGCTCAATTGAGAGAAGTTCAGAGCATTTTCAAGGACTAAACTGGGAGAAAGAAGCCCAGAGCAATAAAATATGAGGAATGTTATTGTGCAAATGGGTACATCAAAGTTTGGCTTTGATTGCGCGGGGTAGCAGCCAGTTCAAGGAAGTGAAACTAGGATGGGAAACTTCCCTTCTTTTACTTTTAAGTAGGACCCTCTCCTCGGACAAGTTATACTCTTACACTTCATTTGACAATTACACCACTGATCCACAATAAATGATTTTTTAAAATAAAAAAAAAGGATGTATTATTATTTTTCTTCCAAATTTGTTAACTGATAAATTATATGAACAAATTTCTAAAAGTCCTCTCAATACTTCTTTATACTTTCCCATGAATTGATTAGGGTAATTTAGTCAAATAACCTCATAATTAATATTTATTAGGTGGTTTACTTGATGGGTGTGCCAAAATCTCAAAAATCACTTATTGTGGAACAGAGGCAGTAATATATAATTTGATCAGTGATCACAATTCACAAAGATTGCTCTAGGTAGCATTTTAGCAGATCCAAGGTCAAATGGTAGACCAAATAAGTTGCAATAACATCTATAATCAGATGGGATAATCAGTCCCAAGTGGCCATTTAAAATTTTAAAGAATCATTACGTATCATCTCCCTCCGCTGCCGCCAGCCCCAAGAAAAAAACATTTCTTTTGGGCAGCGGGGGAGAAATAAGCTATAGCACGCACAAACTAATTTGAGATTGAGATGCAGTTGCTTCATTGATTGAAGTAGGAGTAGGGAGCTATACAGCGTAAATGACAATAAGGCATCAGCCAGCCACTACCAGAAGAAAATTCATCCAAACGGAAGATAGTTTCAAATTTCTCCTCTTTGAATAGGGAGTAACAGTGAAATAAATAAGCACAACACATGTAGCAAAAATATCTGGAGCACAGTTATTGAATGCATACCGTAGTTTCCTCTTTTTATTCGCAGAAGTAGTTTCACATCCAGCTCTAGAACTAAGTTTCTGTGTCGGAACTATGACATTGGGTCTAAGGGCAGGTCTTTCATCCTCCCTGTCAACGAAGTTGGAAATAAAAGCTTCTCGTCGTATCTTTTTAGCTTCTTTCAGCATAGAAACTTCATCTGGAAATAGCACAATCCATCTCCTGTACTTCAGAAGAATTGAATAAGAAACAAATCTGGATAACACCTAGCATATATTCTAATATGGTGCACAATTAATGAGAAATAATATTGACCTCCCACCCTACAGGGAAAATACACAAATAAGACAGGAGCTGGCTCGCCCAAATAAAAATGCTAGAAGGAACCCACCCCACCCTCACCCACCCAGGTTAGACCATAATAACAAAACATCCATACCTGCGACACTGATTGTCAGTACGTGGAGGAATGCATGCAGCAACCTTGGACCAGGAATATCCATGTTCATCAATGGCTGATTTTAACTTCAAATCCTCCTCTTCTGTCCACTCATCCAACTTCAAAGAAGGATCTAAGCTATTGACCCATCTGAATCAACAGCAACAAAAAAAAAAAAATAAGAATGATAACAGCTATTTCCACCTTACTCGTCAAAGTCAGACAGATAATAAATACCTTTCTCTACATTGTACATGAGTCCGCCCAGGTACATATTGAGCAACCTTCTTCCAAATTGGAGTTCGCCAAGGCACAGATTGAACTACATTCCTCCAAGTTTTAGGATAAAAAAGCATCACAGCAACTTTCAATCGCTTATCTTCATCAGCACTCCATTTCCCGCACCTTTTCATTGCTGGATGAATAGATTTAATCCACCTGGGGGTTTCAAAAAAAAAGTCACTAGCTTGATTGAGAGTAACATCATGGAGAACACCAAACTGCAAATTGCTTAGAAAAGCACTGAGTAGAAAAACATGTGAAAAGCAAACCCAAACACGAATAACATTTGGGATTCAGAAGCCTCAAATTTAACTATGTATTCCCTTCTAATTCTCCTCCTCCCCAATCCTTTGGATGAGATACAGTACAACATCAGTACAAATATACCAAACTTTAGACCATCCAACAAAACCTTACAAAAGTAGCTACATAATCTCCAAAGAAATTGTTGAAAATCATTTATGAAATAGCAGAAGGCAAACTTAGTTACATAGTCTCAGAAGGAATTGTTGTCTGTAATTGATGAAATAGCAGAAGGCAACGTTTAATTTGCCAAGGCTCATTTTTAAAGGCCAAAGAGAAGCAGTAAATCTATAGATCCTACTCTAGAATCTAGATACTGGACCTACATAAAAGATGGCCAATCGCAAACATCAACTTTGAAGTTTAAACAAAAGTATTACTGAATACAGTGTTATGAAAAATTACCACTTCGACAACAGAAGTAATATATGTGATCCTTTAATACATTATGAGAACTGAGTAGCATTATAGTACCTTGAAAAAAATATTAAATCACGATGAGGAGATGACTGACCTATTGGAGCACTGAGTACCTGTCCGACCTTCAATGACAGAAGCAACAAACTGCCAATTGCTCTCACCAAAAGTCTCCACAGCAGCAGAGAGTCTAATATCCTCCTCATCTGTCCATTCCCGCCTAATGATTGAAGCATTCAAACTCCTCTGATAATGTGATAAGCACTGAAATGGAGTCCTACATACTCCTAATGATGTAGAAATATCAACCCAGTTACTCATTTTTTTCTGCTGGACAGCTTGCAATAGGTTCTTTTCTTCTAATAAATCCCATCCTTCATGTTTAATTAAGGGGTCTTCCCAGTTCAACCACCTGAAGGGATTTAGGAGAGAACAAGACCATTACTCTCAATTACCTTATCAAAAAAAAAAAGACCATATCTCTCAATTGATGAAAAAAGGAAAATTGAATTCAAAGCCCCTCAACACTAAACTAATGATAATAGAAGCACCACTAAGAAGGAAATTTGGTATCTCCAATAATGCACACATCAATCTTAGACTTGCAGTAGCTAAAACTTTGTTTCTTGAATGAGGAGACCACACAGGGTCATTTAAGGTACTTAAGATCTGACCGTAATATGGAATTTGTAGAAGTGCAGTACTAATGTTATATTTAAGTATATGTGGTTTTTCATATTCATTTAAATGCTCATGAGATTCATGGATCAATATGATATCAATGCATATCCATTATATGCAATCATTAGACTTCCAAAAGGTGACTGTAATATTGAACTTCAAGATCATCAGGAGTGCAATAATAATGTTAAATAAAAGAGTATATGTCCATTCATGTTAACGTATATCTTCATAAAACTTGTGGTAGTTTAGATAATAAGATGGCTTTTAGAGAGAGAGGGACTCAAAGGAAATAATTTCCTCTACGGCACAGACGTTGGACGGAGGAGGCAGAAGACTGAAGGGAGTGAAGGAACCAAAGTTCAGATTTTCACCAGGGTGTATCTTGGAAAGAATTGAGTTCCTCACGACATGCTTGGTGGGGAAGTTCAAGAAGAGAGTGGCTTCACCAGTTCTTGTCTTATACTAGGCTGCTAAGGCATAGACTATATCCAGTGATTTAGCCATGAGGCTATGGTGGGATTTGCTTAGGTGGTTCAGCTTGCCGTGGATATGTGAAGAATCGTAAAAGATTTTATGTCTTTCTGGAAGAGCGGGAGAGGAGGGAGAAGACGTGGGGCGTGAAATGTCGCTCCACTCGCAATGTTTGGAGAGAGAAATAGGAGAGATTTTGAAGGGGTAGATATGTGTTTTACACAGTTGAGTAACCACCCATCCCTGACCTTCTTTCAGTGCACCCATGTAGTCCCTCGTTGTATAGAAGATTGGATGGCATTTGTGGATAATCGTATTTTTTTGTAGTTACTCTACTTTTTGGTATACCACTTGTAATACAATCATGTTTTTGGTCATGTTATTAACGAAAATACTTCTACTTGATCAAAAAAAAAAAAACTTGGGGCATGTCCCTTAAATGTTTAACAAAAAGTTTATATTCTCATAAATTAGCAAACCAAGCATTATCTTTACTTGGAATCCAATACAAACGTTGATCCTGTCACTTTTAAGGCTCTTCTAATCCTTAACTTGGATGATAAGCCATTAAGCATGCAATTCTGACAATTTGGAGTCATGATTCAGCAAATGTTCTCCAGAACTTATTATGGATCAAAAGGACATGATTCCCGGTATTCATATTATAATCAATAGACACAGCAAAAATCAAAATTTCGATATAATTTTTCATATACATGCATGCATAGAAACGAACAAATACCCAACAACAATTACCTAATTCAAGTATTAAACGTCATTTATACTATGGAATGGAATGTCATTATTTCGTACGGTGAAAGGCATTTTAATTCTACCTTGATTGGCATTCAGCACCAGAACGACCAGGAAGATACATGGAAGCTACTTGATCCCAATTGACCTTGGGTAGAAATAACCTCATGGTCTCGGGGGTAATTGCGAGGTCTCTGATTGAGGCAATGACATCATCAAGATCACCAGATTCTCTAGAACATCCATCCTCATCACTGCAAAAGAGTTTGATAAGACCAACTCATCCCAAAAGAGCTAATGTGGTGGCAACATGGAGTATTTTCCAGACAAAAGTTAAATTAAATCACTCTAACTGCTTATCATGTTTTGTCTCATCACAGAAACCATTTGACGATCTCAAGTTCTTTTAAAAAAATTCCACTTGTTAGAGTAGTGCTCATATCTCCCGAGACTTCTGCTTACAAGTGTATTGATAATAGTACTTCAATATTTTGAACAGCACAAGTTGATAAAACCAGTCATAACCATTTGCCTTCATGTTCCAATATCCAGACTTCAACTTCATATCCAAATAAAGAAAAGCAAGAAAATAAAACCGAAGCCAATAAACTGAGAGAAACACAAAAAAAGACACAGAATAAAAGGGTGGGGAGAAAGTGGAAGAGATAACTGAGAAGAAATTAGGGCCTCCGTCAATGAATATTCTTCAAACCAAACTGCATACCATTTTTAATTCACTAAAAATGAGAATTTCCAATCACCATAGCATATTTGATATTCGTACAGGAATCCTCAGCTGGTATCGCAATAAGAGAACGCACACAGACACAAAGAGAGATGGAAACTAGGGCTAAAAGTTGCAGAAAAATCAGGCTGGGGAGAAGGGAGTGGAAGTCAAACACTTGACAACATTAAGCTATAATGGAGGCATTGAAGAAAACCTCAGACAATTCTCCAGAATAGTACAAAAGAAAAACACATTTTGGTAGTATTAGCTTCAGTTTTTTCACACAATTTCTAATCCAGCAATATAGAGACTTCCATTACACCATCAATACACTACTTTATTAAAACATCAATTGCACATGTAACTTTTGTTTTTGAATTGCACCTGTAAATTTAATAATATAAAGATTATGATAATCTCATGTCGCCAAACAGTTGATCCCAATATTTTGACCTAAAAGTGTAAAATTAAAAACCAACATTATTTGTTCTTGCGCATAAATCAAAAAAATATATCTATAGCTAGAAAAGAACCACAAATGATTGAATTGGTGCACTAACAATAAGGTATCCACTTCAAACTTAGAAGTCATATAAGCATGGCATCCTGTCTCTTTATGATTACCTCCAATAAGGACCATCAAGATAAAGATCACTTGACACAGGTGGGGATATCTAGAGATCAAAGTCATTACATAAAACTTATAGCATGGAGGGGTATGAATTGGCACAGTTTTAAAAAGATATTTTTTAGTGAACAGTACAATTTAACTCTATTGCAATTTAATTAAATCAAGTGACCAACAATTATACTTTTCCCATCACCGATCTGCCAACTTTCCTGGTTACTCTTCAACCGGAAATTCAAATAAAAGCAGTACTGATATTTATAAAGATTTGCATCACTGTACCTTTTTTCTAATGGCCGAGAATAGAATCCATTCGTTGTCTACTGCAACAAGATTTTTCCACCGTTCTTATTATTTTCTATGAGATAAATAGGTCTACTAAATTGGAAAAATTCCCATGTTGGAGAGTTTATATAAAATCAAGTTATATATCTCAGTTATGTTATTAACAGCTTTGTAGAAAAGAGAGCTCCATAACCATATTTCTTTCCGGTGATTATTCACTATTAAAGCGAACTACTCAGGCAATGTTCACTATCGCGATGACTTTTTCTTTCTTATACATATTAAAGTCGAGAGAAATCATATAAAAAAGTTGTAAAATATTTCTACTATTATGTCAGCAAAATCAGAAAACCCGTGAACTAAGAAACTTAGAAAGTTCATGAAAATCAAAATCCTATATAAGGAGTCTCTGTTATATCATTTTAACAACCTAATTCATCAAGCGTGGTCTCTTCTATTTTATCATCACAAAATTATAAGTAAAAAAGGAAGTTGAAATTGGAACTCTTAGGTAAAAGAATGGATTATAATTACACATACAATCCTTATAAATGTTCCTTTTTAAACTGGTAAATAAGTATTTTTGAGAAAAGAACTGGTAGGGAAGTATTTTATTGATATTAACAGCAATTATATGATACTTGTATAAATGTTAAACAATAATCATGAATGGGTTCTAATCCAGGCAAAAAAGGGAAAGTCGTCTATTTTGAATACCATGATAAGTCAATCAACCTTAATCTTATCAATTTGATGGATAAGATATTTGCTGATACATATTAGCGTCATCCAAGAACATGGAGGAGAAATCAGGAAATCATTGAGAGGCACAAGGTTTATATGAAAGTTGACCAGTATTAGAATGCTAGTGTTGTTGCTCATTTCATTATTGTGAGAGAACATGTATATGTGCATACAAGTGCTGTATGAGAAGGAATCTAATCAGAGAGAAGAGCTGCCTCATTAACATAGCAACTGCAGGGAGAAATGTACCTTAGAAGATTGACCGAGCGTTGAAGTAACATCTCTTGAAATTGCTGTTTCACTCCTTTCGCAAGATTTTCACTCTCTTCCTTGGACCACTCCTTGCGACTCAATGAGACAGCAAAATGTGTCAATGCCTCCCTATAGCTAGCAACATGAGAATTCTCAGGAGGTCCACAATGTGTTGCAGATAACTTCTTTCCCTGGAGTTGTAAAAACAATTTAGGATCAGAAGGTTATATACAACAGTAACCTTTTTTTTCCATTAGTACAACTTGCATCAACAAACTTTTTTGATGATCCAAAACTTGCATCAACAAATGTATGCCTTCTATTCCTGATAAGTACAACTTGCATCAACAAATGTATGCCTTTTTTCATGATAAGTACAACTTGCTTCTCATTTAATACGAGCATCCCCAGGAAAGCAGTATTTTTAACAAGTCTCACAATGTTGTTTGTAATTTCCAAATATGTTATCACAAGAGAAGAAACTATTACCAAGCTCATTTGGGATTGAGGTGTTGTAGTAGTTGCTTAACAGAAAAAATCAAGCTTTCAGAAGATGCAACCCATATATTTGCACATATTAACCTTCTCACCCAGTTACACATGATACGATACTGATATACCAAGTTTTAAAAAAAATATATATATCATACAGATATAAAAGAAAAGGTTGCGCAATATATGATCAATCAACTAGAATGAGAAAACAAAGGAACGCAAGGCTGTCAGTGTTCAACAAGCAACTTATTGGCATAGATAAATGCAGGAAACAGGAAAGCCACACATGTCCATTGATGACATATTTGGCACACCTCAAGAAAAACCTTTTCTTGAAAAGAAAATTCTGATAGTTGTACACTAAACATACACTATACAAAAACTTACATGTTTCGAGAAAACAAAATACTAATACTTCTGTTCTTGTATATTCAAGTTGTCCCACGCAAAAGTAATCTTTTGACAACAAACTCAGAACCGCATATGGTTTTGTTTTTATTATCTGGTGGTCTGGCGTAAAGAATGAGCAAGGTTAGGAAAAAATGAAATGAGACATAAGACAGCTAAATGAACCCTAAATCTTAAGTGGTTGTGTGTTCTTACCCTAAATTATTTCATGCATGCAGCAATATAAGATGGAATTCAACAAAGTAATAAATAATAAAGCTTGCAGTAACTGGCAGTTAGCACTGCTGACCTTTGCACTGAACCTTTGCTTTGGCAAAGAAATTAACTGGACACGAGCATCTCTTTTCTGTGACAAGGCCCGACCCATTCTCTTTTTGCATGTGAGCTGAAAGCTCTTAAGGATCTTGACCCGCTCCGTCAATTTTTTCAACTCTTCCAATCTTGCTTCAGTTTGCATCATCTTATCCCGCATAACTTTCTGACAAGACCTATTCTTCCTTATGGCATCAAGAAATGCATGTGCTGATTTTGGTAAGCAAGAAGAATTAACTGATGCTGCTATGGTTTCAGCACCAGAATCATGCCCCTCAGTGAGATTCTGAGAACTAGCAACGTCATTACTGCATCCTTCAGAAATCTGTATGGTTCTATCTACACAAGCGGGAAACCCTTCCTCAGCATTAGTTCTCTCTACAAAGAAATTATTGGAAGTTTCCTTTTCCGAGGATATGTTAGTGACACCAACCTGCTCAAATTTATCTAAAGGACTCTCCTTTCTTCTATTCCCAGAATCTGTATAAATTATAATATAAAATTTAGTCACAAATAAGATATGCATAAAAAGATGGTAAAACATTCTTGATCGCCAACAAACAAACAAGTATTTATCTCCTGTAATGTTAGATAGAATGAACGATTTATCCCTATTTACGATTCAAACTAAAGACTAGCAATGAGTATAGTTTAAATTCAAAATCTAAATCAACAACGGAAATAGTCTACCATCATCGTAGGCCGCAAAACGGCGCTCAATAGCACGTAAGGTTTCTAAATCATTCTCTTCATCACCCTCTGAGCCAGGTGGAAAAATAGAGCACAATGGTTTCAAACTTATAGGCTCGCGAAGCTCCGTTGATAGGGCAAATCGCTCTTGTAACCCACGTACGAACGCAATGTCATCGTCGTTGGCGTCTGAACCATAGGGCGTTATATCATCACCATCGGCGACGTGGCCACCGGCAACATCGCCGGTGGAAGATGAAGGTTGGAGGTCGTCGGCGTCCGTGCCGGCGAAAAGACAAGCTTTCTTGAGCGCTTCCATGTCTTCTTGGAAGCCGTCATCAGAATCGTTGCCGGATAAATCCTCATCGGAATCGAAGGCCATTGGGAATTAGGGATTCGGGCAATCCAAGGTTTTAGGAAAATTTTCAGTTGAATGAATGGTGATGGCGGTAACAGCTAGTGTTTAGAAAGCTGAAGAGTCAAAATTTGGGCTCAATAACAGAGAGCCCATAAATAAGCATTAAATAGGAGGTAATCCAATGAACACGCTTTAACAGTGGGCCGGGCCTACAATCTTGAAAAACTTCGGCCCAGTAAGCCATATATAAGTGGGCTAAGAGCAACTTAGGCTTTCTCTATTAATTGGGTCGTAGACATGGCCCATAAGTAAAAGGCAATCCAAATCAAAAAAGTGAAATCAAACCTAATCAATTATAATGTATCAAAATACCGTTTAATCTTAAATTACTTTGATTGGTACCTTTTAATAAATAATTATTGATTTTAGCGAATTTTTATTTATTTATTGTCATTTATAGCAATACATAGCAATATCATGTTAAAATTGCAATATGTATTAAAAGTGAATTATGTATGCAATATATATGTATTATAACTATTTTTTAAAATATATTATGCTTGTTTGGTAAGAAATTGACATATTGTATTCTAAGTATATTAAAATGTGTTAATAAATGTATTATCCATCAATAGAACTTGTATTATATGTGAATAATAAATTGTTATGTATTAAAACTGTATTATGTAACTGTAAGTATTAAATTGAGTAATACCTCCCTATAGATGATAAAAAAAATTTTAACATAGTATATTTATGTAAGTTTCCCAAAGAAAAAAGCGCTACTTAAGAGATCCAAATTACAAAACTTTAATTTTTTATCAAAATGATTTCATATGACATGTCTAAATAAGTCTTAAGAAAAATAAACAGTAAAAGGGAAGACACACTAAAATATCTTCCTTATCCTGTCTTATACGTTGTGAAAAAAGTAATACAACAAACAAATTTTGCGATAGCATTGTGGACCAAACACATCTTCATCTAAACAACTTTACCAAACGATAAGGCACCAAAAGTAGCTTTGAGTAATTTTTATCTTTACTAAGCTAATGAGTCACCATGACAACGATATAGTCCTCTGTGTTCACAAACAACTTTTTTAGAAGAGCCAGGTGAAAATAATAAGTTTATCTAAATTCTAAATATGTGATTTCTCCATCTTTTATTTACTTATAATAATTATTGTTGATTACACTTTTAAAAATCGAGAGTCTATTAGAAATTATATCTTTATTCTATACAAAAATAAACATATATCATGCATACATTTTACTTTTCACAGATTTTATGATGAGATTATATTAAATATATTGTTATTGTTATATATAAAAATAATAGCAACAATAATTAAAAGACCACTCACTGTCTTGTACTACTTCCTGATTGCTGCCAGTTTGTGGTGTGTATGTAATGGTGGGGTATTCATGCTGGATTTGCAAATATCTTTGGCAATATATATATATATATATATATATAAAAGAAAATCTTTTATAGACAACACAATTATATGCCAAAAATATTTGTAGTTTAATCGGTCAGAGCATAGCCCCATTAAGCTTAATTTGTACAACACATGCCAAAATTTTAAACAAAGCTAACAAAGTTTGGTTTTAGTCTTTTCATTCAACCATTTCTGGACAAAGTTGTGGGATCTGCAAAAACGACATATATGTGATGAATATTATTGTTTCTTTATTCCATGATTATTTTTTTTATAAATCTCCATTGCATCTTACTTATTAATCTGCAATAAGAAATTTCTTGAATATATTTTTAAAAAGGAACTTGGCTAAAAGAAGCACGTTAGTTAGTATGAAACAGTTATTGAAATTTGGTGCGAGTATTTCATGACAATATTCTTATTAATTGATGTTTAATTTGATCCTAATAAATAATTTAGAGAATAAATAATTAATATGTATAAAAAATAAATTTTTTCTAATAATTGACGGTAAAAATAAACAAAAGAAATAAGTATTTATTTAATACTCCCTTTCTTCACGTTTATTTGTCTTATTTGAATTTGACACGTTATAATTGATATAACTATTTTACCACATTATTCATATTATATGATGTTTAATATTATGTTTTGAAAAATAATTTATGAAAAGTGAAAATTTATTTTTGAAATAGCGGATAAGTCAAAATGTACGAGTGAATAAAAAAGTCATTATCGCGCAACCATAGTTACTTGTTTAGTTATCGTTAGACATTAATTTTACGAACATACATATATCCTTTGGTCAAAAATGATGAACTCATTTTCCTTTTCAACACTCCATCTAGATCGTTCTAACTTCTAACATCCAAATCATTAATGGTGTATTTGGTATGGAGGATGCTTTTAACAAATGTCATGTTTGTTTGATCAAAAAATTACCTTTTTAAGAAACAAGTTATACTACTTTATTTTTTTATATTTGAAAACTATATATAAAAATATTACAAATTGTAATTATTTTGATATTCATACGATGAAAAAATATATCTTAAAATATTAATCAAAATTTAAAATTGAGAAAGTAACCTATAATTTGAGACGGAAAGAATATGCATTTTCTAGTGAAAAAGAGACCCACGAAATTATTGTCATGGGCTTGGTTAATTTGGAATACAATTGTGGAATGTGGACTCGATGTGACCGCGTCACTTTTAAGTTTGATGTGACTTATTAGTCTCATATTTAAATTATTCATAGCCTTAAAAATATCCGTATACTAGATTATCTTGATCTTAGAATATGAGTGAAACGTATCCCTAAATCCTCGCCAAGTTTATCATGTTTTCAGTACTTTTTTTGACTCTCACTCCAAAAGTAAAGTAGATAGATGGACTTAGCTTCCCACTTATTCAGTACTACCAATAAACAATCCTGACAACTTTCTTCCATCACTTTTGCTAGGTAAGACGAGAAAAACCCTTGCCCTGTTGTAGAAATTACACTTTGTGTTACTTGAATTTTGTAGCTTGATGTTGATGAGTAAAGAATAAAGATAATTGATTTCATAATTTGTTGGCTTGTGGGCATACGTAGGAAGCTGATGCAGGCTTTAGTTATTGGCATGTGGGCGGACGCACCAAAGCTGATGCTGCCTTTACTTATTTTTCAACTACTTCTTGTGGAGGTAATTGTTATGCAAATTACTACTTTTTTTTCCTTGCGGTGTTCGGGTCAACTTAATTAGCAGTACAAATGTCTGCTCTGTAGTTTCCACTAGCACATGTACAACTTAATTCAAACCACCAAAGTTTGGACGTATACGATGAAACTCGTAGCGTTTTGTCAACTGGAAACCTCATAGTTCATCCTATTTGGTTGAGTGCATTTATTGCTGACTAGTTGCATGAGAATAGCCTCTATGGTTGACTAGAGCAAGGAGGGAAGTGAGACTGAGATGATTTAGATATGTGAAGTTGGGTATAGAGGGTACGAAGAGAGACATAGATAAGCCGAAAAAGTATTGGAGAGAGGTAAAAGGATGAAATATGATATAACTTCAGGTTATGCCGGACTGCCGGACATGACCTTAAATAGGAGGATGTGTAGGCACATATTAGGATAAAAGGTTAATAGATTGTGTAGTGTTATCTTGCTTAGGGTGGTTGGTGTTTGCCATGTTCTTAGTTGTATTATTGTAGTTCATTTTTTATTTAAAAAAATCATTGTTTATTATTGTTTTCAATAATCTATCCTAGTATGTTGTTTGATATGTTTGGTTATCACATTATTTTATTGTTGTTTTCGGCTCTTTTTCGAAAGACTTTGCAGTGTTACCTTATTACTTGCTATATTCTCTTCCCTGTCTTTTTTGCACTTGAGCCGAGGGTCCTTCGAAACAACCTCCATCTCCATGAGGTAGTGCTAAGGTTTATGTGATTTCTACCCTCCCTAGACCTCACCTGTGGGATTTCAGTGGGTATGTTATTGTTTTAGTTCCATCACTCATAGTATGTTCTTCTTAATTCGAAAGGAGTTTGATTTGTTGGAGAAATTTTGTTGCTGTTCTGTTTAGGAAGGGGAGTGGGGGAGGCGATCTGTGAATTCAAAATTTGAACATTATGTATTGATGTTACTTAGAGGACCCTTTAGGCTTTAACATATATATAGAGTGTGAGCCAAAGTTACTTAGTTCGAGTTCGGTTGATCAGATAAATTGTATACGAGGTCCACATTGGAGGGCTTTCAGGAAATGGAAGAAGGACATAAATATATATAAGAGTGATGTTTTGACTAGATGTTGGTATTTTTCTTTAAGATCATTCTTTTATGGGTACTCAACTACTCTGAATATGAAACGAAAAGAACGTTTCAGATGTTAATGTTCTGGTTTAGTCTATGACTATCATTCAAATGAAAGGTACATTTGGATGTTTACTGCGAATCCTCATTAATTAATGAACTAAACATTATCTGGTGAAATGAAACCTAACTGGAGTAGTAGTTGTCAAGCTCATTAAAAGATCCACTATACACAATTTACTAGACACTTCTCTTTGATTTGCGCCATATATAATATAAAATGAGTTAAAGGGTAAAAAACACATCTAAACTATTCTACTTTATTGAGTTCGATACCTGAACTATTGGGAGTGTGAGTTTCACTCAATAGTTAAGGTATGAAACACAAAAAATTGGGATAATTTAGGTGTGTTTTTGACTGTTAACTCATATAAAATAATGATTTATGGGAGACAGTTGAATGCTTCAATCTTGATTGGGCCAACTGATAAGAGCAATTGAATGACATGAAACAGGACAAATATGCACAGGTTCAACGCTTATAAATGCTGCATATCTTCCCTCTCAATCTTCATAACTGATAACACATCTCTTGAATCCTTTTGACTTTACTTGACAGGTCAACTGCTGAGAAACTCTCATGGCATTCTCAATTTCTCTTCCAGACTTTGTTCATCCTCAACTCCGTCATGTGGTTGCAAAGATGTCTTTGTTTGACACAATTTTGTTCTATGTTAGTGTCCTCCGTTCCATTCTTTTAACCGTTCACCTGTGTGATATTATGCGTTACAAT